TGTACTTTTAGTTTTTAAGTCACTAAACTGAAACTTCTTGGAAATGCTATTAATAAAAATTCAGGACCACATCAAACCAACATAAATATTTCCTATTCTTTTTAAAATTAGTTCACTCCTGATCCTACTTTTTTTGTTTTGTTTTTTTGTTTTTTTTTTAGTGCACTGTTCTCTCAAATTCATCTGAGTTATGAAACACACAAGGCACAAGAACAAACTAACATCAGAACACTCTTTCAATAAAAGCATTCATTTAGTTCTCATATATATCTTTAGTTTCTTAGCACAACGGGCACATGCATAATCCTCTGAGTGGATTTAAATAATGATTGCCCCTTATCTGGCGTCCCACTCTAATCAGTGTGGTTCGGGCCTCGCTGTGTCATCGCTCTGCTCTTGGCATGACGTGCCAACTGTCTATCTGCATCTTCTCCTCATCTCCAAACCCATAAAACTCACTGACAGGCCCTTTGTTTGAGACACGCCAGTTGCACTTTTAAATATGTGGACTGAGGTCTCATAAGAAATAAACCGCTCATGTTCTTATGCATGACTGCATATGCAACCAAAAAATTATCACTTGTAAGTATACTCTTACGGACATGATTTCCATATACTGTAGAAAGACTTAAAATAAATATTATTTTTTGCTTCTGTAACAAGATGAGTGTTTAAGTGTTTTAAAGTAAACACGTTTCTCTGCACGGTTTGATTTCTGTGTTAGTTTTATGTATACTTTTACAGTCTTTAAAAACCTTTTGTAGTGCTGTTTAGGAGCTTTTCTTGCTTTTGGAAACAGACGCATTTCTAGAAATACACAAAAAAGCGGCATGTAAAAGTTCATTTGAAAAATAACAAAGAATGTTTTTCTAAAGCGGTCATTTCTTCATGCTCTGCTGCACAATCAGCCAAGCTCAAGTCTTTATTTTCTAATGTGATCATTTTCATTTTTGATAGTCCTTTCTGTGATAAGGTCTCTGCTTTGGCTCACACAGTCGCCTGCTACTTTGCCTCAGGCAAGCACAGTCAGAGTGTTTTGCATATCTGCTCATTTGTTAAGCAAATCTCTCTCCTTCTATCTTTTTCTTTATCCCTCCCTGTTTTCTCCCTTTCGCTTTACCACTCTGCTTTTGTAATCTTAAAAGATGTTCTGACCTCGTCAGAATTTTTTTGTTCATATATATGATGTATCTGTATTTGTGTGGTATTGGTGTCATGTTGTGCTGATGCATTGGTTCAGTGGATGTGTTACCATTGTTTATATGTGTGGACTGATGTACACTAAAGGTCAAATTTCTCTTTTTGCCTGCAGGCTTTAACAGCTTTTGGCAGCAGACCCACTTAAAGTTTTTTATGATAACGGCCTGTCCAAATATCTGAAAGCACATCTCTTTATTGTTCCTCACAATTAATTCTAAATCAACTGTTTCTACAAATACAAAACAGCTGCCAAAGCTGAGTGAATTTAACATATGGCGTGTATGATTCGTTGGAATATATTAAAAGATTAAAAGCTAACTTCAGATATGCTTAACTGAATTTGTTTCTCGTGATCTTAAAAAGATTAATGTGTAAAAGGCATGAAATCAGTTTTGTAGACATATATGTTGTGCTTATGTATGAATTCCTTCACAAAATAAAAAATTAAAATAATTTAATCAAATAAAAAATTTACATTTTAAAAGTTTTTCAAATGCATAAGTTG